ATATTTTTTTTTTTTTTTATTTTTTTTTTTTTAGCGTAAATTTTATGTACAAAATACATGTATCAAATTCATATTAGTTACATTTCAGATTATGCAAAAGATTCAGACTACTACATTTCAAGCTATATTGAACTAAAGAATGTCAATTACCTTCCCCACCCATCCCAGCGAGGTTGATATGTTTCTCTAATGGGTGCATCAGGGAATTCGCATGAGTAGCATGAAGCTCCCTTTCCACCAGTCGTGAGGTATTGATTTGCATAAGTTAAATCTCCAACCATCAAAATCATTGAAGGATCATTCTTAACAAGATGATCAATTGTTGTTGTAGAATTGCTGGTAAGTCCTAAATCTCCTACAACTGCTATTCGACGAGGATACTTGCCAGAGCCAGGCAACGGTAAGGTGTCAAATACAAGTTCCTCACTCATTGCTTTTAAAGAACTATCCCCGCACTTGTAGTAATACTTTGTTTCAGGTTCAAGACCTATAAGAAAATCCAAATCTCCATAGTTACATAAGACCATTACATAAAATACTAATCAATCAGGGGTCAGATCAGGTTGTGTAAGAGATGCAAGATGAGATTATTCCAATCATCGTCCAAATAATCTCAATACTATGATCTTATGGTCAGCATATTGAAAATAATCCGTAAGAAATGAAAGCAACTGAAACATATATTCATTGTATTCTTCTACTCAAAAGTTTACCATCAATCTTCACATGATGAATGATACCAGATGTGTAATTCCAGAGGCCCTCAAATGGATACAACTGATTATAAATCACTGAGACACCAGTTTGCTTTCCACTGTACTTTCCCCTTTCCTTCCCATACCACACCTCGCTGCCCACTGTTGACGGATCAACTGGCGTGACATTCAATCCAATCTGTGCATCCCCTACAACCCAATTAACAAAACCCATCAAACAAACTCAAAAAATGACACCAAAAATTATTCTAAAACTGTAAGTTACGAATATCGTAGTACCAGTGACCCAAGAAATCCACATTGAAGTTGGAGTAGACAATGCAAGAGCAATCTGTTCAGGGAAATTTGAGGTCACATTTTTCCGTAACCTGGGGTGATTCATAGGCAAATCATCACTGCCACGGCGCAACGAAGGATCGAAACTACGAGTTGCGGGCTTAAATGGGCCTTGTAAGGTTGTGGGAATTTGCTGCGTTAATCCAGCTATCACCATATTCATCACTGCGAATAGCAGAATTGTTGAAGTTGAAAAAAGTTTATTTTTCTCCATGAAGGGTCTATAATTCCTTGATTTGTGATTAGCAGAATCCTTTTCTTCATCAGCAACCATCAAATTAACACTTCATTGTCTCGCAACCACCGTCTGGAAGACTTATTTTTCTTTTTTGATGCCACTTTTCGGAGAATACTGTAGTATTATTTGGAAATGGAATATTCTGATCCTGCCGTTAGCGCGACTCCATGGCCTAAGCATATCTCGCTTAGTTTGACTTCACAAGTTTTATAATTGAGTTTACCTACTTGTACATAATTTGATGTATATCAAGATATCCACCCCCTCTCATAAGGAAATATTTATTCAAGTGGGTCCCACCCTCATGAGAGAGGATGGATACCTTGATGTACACTAGCAATGCTCTTTATAGTTATCCACCCACAATGAGTCTGATTCAAACCAAAAAACTAATTAAACTAAAGTAATAACTAATTTTACTTGCAACTTTTTAATCACACCTCCATCAACTTTTATCCAAATCAAACAGGGATTTAGAACTCATTTGACATGACTTTTAAAAATTGAAAAAGGAGTTTTTGATATTCAAATGTTGCTTTTGAATTTGTTTGACTAATTTAATAAAAGTGATTTTTCTAGTTAGACGAGCTTTAAAAGAAAGTTGATCCAATACGATTTTCTCTGAAATTATTTCTGGAATCAAAAGTTCTTTTAAAACTTAGTTTTGAAATAAAAATTAAAATAACTTTCCTCAAAAGTTCTTGTGACAAAATAAAAGCAAAAATTATGACAAATGAGCCCTTAATCTTGAGTAACTATGCCAATGGATTAAAATTACAAAATGGTATTTGACATGTTTAACATTACACTAATGATTATTAACTCCTTATGTATATGTAGTATTATTCTATATATTATGCTGATAATAATTGAAGTCTGTAGTAATTTCAAATTTTTCTTACTGTACTAGTTACTAAAACTTTGAACGTATTCTTCACTTGTTGTAATTAAAAACATTAACGTTATACCTTAGTTTTTACCCAATTTCTTTCTCAGTTTCTATCAATTATCCTAATTCTCCCAATTCCTCCAAATCGCTTTGATCCAGGGTTCTACTTCTACCATAAACAATATATTAGATATGACCATACAAATTTATTTTGGGTACCGCTACTTACATTCACAGTTTTTATATATTAATCACACTCTATATCCATCCCTATTAAAATTTTAAAAAATTATTATTTTCATCCACGCCAATTTTCAATATTGTTCTTACTAAATTCATTCATTTAAACATCATAGATTCACACTAATTTTATTCATCACATTCTAAATACATCCCTAATACAAGTTTAAAAAATTACTATATTCATCAAATCACTATCAACATCTAATTACTTTTCTTCTTTCGTTTTTATTATTGACGTGTCGGTGCTTTAATATTTAGTTGCAAATGTTAGTGAATCTCTTTTTTTGAACATGTTGGATTCTCTCAAGGGTATACCGTTCACCCAACCAAACAAATCCCTCCTCAAATCATATGTTAATTAATTTTAATTTTTTTTTGGCTTATAAGCTAATAATTTTGGTTGTTTGTGTTTTAGTTGGTAATTTTAAATTTGTTTCCTTCTGTAATGTAAGAATATTTGGACATGTGTTAACTTATTTTAAAATCTCTCTTATACTTTCATTTGTCAAACGAATATTTAAAACAAAGCTTAAAAAATAAGATTCCATTTTCCATATCATGAAAGAATTATAACTAAAACAATGTGTCGATTTTTTTGTTTTTAATTTCAGTTGAAGATGGTATTTTATGATTAGTAGAGTTTTATGATTTTAGTTAAAAATGATATTTTATCATTATTAGAATTCTAGTTAAATACAAACTCTAAAAGAATATAATTAGGTTCAAAAGAATTTATTTAAATAAAAATTAATGGATGAATTTAGAACGATATATTTTTATTTAATTTTTTATATATCTATTTAGATAAATTTACATAAGATTAAAAATATAATATAATTATCTTTTTGAAAATAGATATATATATATAAACTGTGAATGTAAATAACAGTAAGGGAAAAATTCATAGGTCGGGCATTATCTTTCACGAAATCAAAAATCAGATCCCAAAGTTGAAATTTACAAAACTCAGATTTTTTCATGAATTAATTAATTATATTTCACAATTAATCTATTAAATTAAATATTTAACTGTAATATAAAATAATCCACCCCACCACCACCACCACCACCACCACCACTTCGGCGACTGCTCCGACGATTACTCCGACAACTATTTTCCGGTCGCGCTTAATTCCAGCGAACATTTTTCGGTGACCGTTAATTCCGATAACTGCTCCAATTCCAAGGTCACAAATCAAAAAAATTATGTCACAAATCACGTATTTTCAAACTTGTGGGTCATAGATTCCTTTTTTTAGTTACAAATTATCAATTTTAAAGTCACAGTTCAATAGCGAGGTCACAGACACCAAAAAAAAAATCACCATAGTACAATAACGAGGTCACAAACACTGGCTAGGTCACAGACACCAGAAAAAACACCACAGTCCAATAGTGAGGTCATACCCAAAAAAATCACCACAGTTCAATAGCTAGATCACGACACTAGCTAGGTCACATATACCAGAAAAACCACCACAATTCAATAGCGAGGTCACAGACATAAAAAAAAAA